CTCCTGAGTGCTGGGACTACAGGTGTGCGCCACTATGCTTGGCTTTTCTTTTTTAACCACTTTTTTCATGGAAAGCCATTTTTACTTGAAAGTATGACTGACAGACAAATTATGGTTATTTATGTTTGGGTATTTGGTAGGTTGTTCTGAAAAACGAATAAATCAATCTTATCACTTCAAGCAAAATACCTGAGAGTATTTGCTGCAGATGTAATATTTGAGCCTAACTCACTGAACCAATATTTTGTGAAGGACTGATAAGTGCATGATTTTAAAATTATGCATGGATAAATAATCTATTTAATTATAAGACCAATGGATTTTAATGTGAGAGAGTCTGCAAAGTTCATTGATATGGCTCAATATTCCACACTGAGAATAACCATTGAGAAGCTATGTATTACTTGCTGAGTTTTGGTGTAAACATACTATGAGAGAAGCATATCCACAGTTTTCTGAGAAAGCTATTAAAATATTCCTCCCTTTCCCGTATTTATCTACATGAGGGCAGATTTTCTACTATAACTGAACCAAAATACCATACCATATCAAATTGAGTGGAGAACTGTACATAAGAGCCTTAACTGTTTTCTGTTTAGAAAGACACTAAAGAGATGCACAAGGGGCTGGGGATTTAGCTTGGTGGCACAGCGCCTGCCTGGCAAGCATGAGGTTATGAGTTCGATTTCTGGTACAGGAAAAAAAGCAAAAAAAAAAAAAAAAAAGAGATGCACAAAATTATACAGCACTCTCGTATAAATATATTTTCAGAAAGTATAGTAAATTTTCATTAAAAAGCAATATTTGTTAATATAAAATGGGTTTATTATTACTTTAAATGCATTAAAATTTTAAAATCTTCCCAGTTTTAATCTATGATATGATAAATATAGATACAACTCACACAAACAAAAGCTCTTTTGGGGGGTCTTAATTTTTTTTTCTTTTTGAGACAGGGTCTCCCTATGCAGTACAGACTGGCCTTGAGTTCATTTTGTAGCCCAGGCTGGCCTCGAACTCGCAAAGATCTTCCTGCCTCAGACTCCTGAGTGCTGGGATTACAGGCGAGTGCCACTGTGCCTGGCTGGGATCTTAATTTTTAAGCATATATAGTAGTGCTGAGACCATAAGCTTGAGAAATATTACTTTAAAATATATTTATGGCTAAGGTTGTGGCTCAACGGTAGAACACCTGCCTGGTATGTGTTCAGTCCAAAGAAGAGCAAAAACAAAAAACTGAAAGACAGAAGACGTGTTTATAATTTTTATGTTAATTTGATTGTAGGGAATTGATCCATTTTCCTTAGATACACTCGCAAAACATGGAATAGTAGCTCTTCGCAGAGCAAAAAGAAGAAATATGGAAAGGTAAGCTTGCAAATTATGTATCCTGAGATTTTTAACAGATTAAATTGAAATTTTCTCATGTGTATTCCTTTTAGCTTACTAGTAAATGTTGGTGAGCAAAAAATAGTGTACAAATTTCAAATTTTGTTCTTAATGTCAGTATATAATTAAATTGCCAAAAATCCAGGTTATTAACCTATTTCAGAATTTTGATGAAGTATCAGAAAGTTTTTCTTCCTTTCAAACATATTTTAAAAACAATATAATGCTGCATGATCTCACCTATGTATGGAATCTAAGAGTGTTGCACTCCTAGAAGTAGATGGGTGAATTACAGTTACCAGGAGCTGAGACAGTGGGGAGGTTGAGGAGTTTAGGAGATATTCAAAGGATACAAAATTTCTTTTGCATAGGAATAAACAAGTTCAAGGGTCCATTGTATAACATGGTGACTATAATTAATAACAATGTATTATATCATTGAAAAAAGCTGAGAGTAGATTTAAGTGTTCTCACTACAAGAATGATAGATATGAGCAGTAATATAAATGTTAATTAGTTCAATTTAGCCATTCCACTAAATGCCATGTTGTACCTAATAAATATATACAATAACAATGCAGTCCTATATGTTAATTTTTTTATCTGTAAGAGATTAACATCTGTGTTTTTCATAACAAAAGCTATAGTGGTGTATATGTTATTTCAGACTCACTCTTGCTTGCGGTGGAATAGCTGTGAATTCTCTTGACGACCTCGATATGGATTGTTTGGGATACGCTGGTCTTGTATTTGAATATACATTAGTGAGTACTTCTGTGAATAGTGGTTATAATATGAACACTAAGCCTTTTTCAAAAAACAGTAACCTTTTAATTCATATTTTGTATTTGCAGATCTGACTAACCCACAGGACAGATTTTATAATTTATTTATCTAAATATTAAGAATTCACATATAACTTAACTACTTTTTTTCTTTTTTTGTTTTTGTTGTTGTTTTTTTTCTGGTACCAGGGATTGAACTCACGACCTTGCGCTTGCCAGGCAGGTGCTGTGCCACTGAACTAAATCCCCAGCCTGCTAACTTAACTACTTTTAAACATATACTTAGTTATGTTTGATAAGAAAAATTCACATCAAGATTGGGTTATAGGGGCTGGGGATTTAGCTCAGTGGCAAAGCGCCTGCCTGGCAGCGCAAGGTCATGAGTTCGGTTCTCGGTACCAGAGAAAAACCAAAAACCCAAAAAAAAAAAAAAAAAAGATTGGGTTATAATATAAACTAGGTCTAGGTCTTTATTTTATAACATTAAATATTAAAGTTATGGGTTTTTTTTTTGTACCACCAAGGATCAAGTCCAGGACCTCATGCATATAGGCAAACATTCTACTAGTGAGCCTTATCTGCAGCTCTAAAGTTGTGTCTTTGCATGTTATCCTTTAGGGTGAAGAAAAGTTTACTTTTATAGAGGGTTGTGTTAACCCTCGCTCTGTCACCTTGCTGATCAAGGGACCAAATAAGCATACTCTCACACTAATCAAGGATGCCATAAGAGATGGACTTCGTGCCATCAAAAATGCCATTGACGATGGTAAGCTCTTTTTCTATGATGGTATGAACCTCACATATTTTGAAAGTAAAAATCAGGGCCCGGGATATAGCTCAGTGGCACAAGCGCCTGCCTGGCAAGTGCAAGGTCCTGAGTTCGATTCCTGGTACCAAAAAAAAGAAAAGAAAGTAAAAATCAACTTGTTATGATATGTTTGGTATTTTAAAATATGAATGGTCAGGTATGGTGGTGCACACCTATAATCCCACCTCCTTGGGAGGATGAGGCAAGAGGATCTGAAGTTAGAGATAATCCCGGGCAAATTAGCATGACCCTGTGTCAAGATAAGAAAGTACTGGAAATGGACTGGAGAGATAGCTCAGTGCTCCCTGGGTTCAATCCCTAGTACTGAAAAAAAATGAATATTATTTCATTTTGCTTTGAACAATTTGTAGCTTGGATTGTAAAGGGATTCCTGTGGAATATTCTTAATAGTAGGGTGCCCTCTTAATTCCTATTTATGAAATGAAAAAAGCACTTAGCTAGTGTTATTTTTTGTTTTTAGGAATTTATTTCTGAAACCATGAAAAAGCTTTGATAGCTTAGAACTCATTACTCAGGTGCAGTGTAACTTTGGGAAAGAAATATTAACCTTTATCATCATCGTCATCATCATCATCATCATTTTGCACTGCTAGAGAATGAACCCAAGGTCTTCACATTGAACTCGATCCTCAGCTCCTTTTTGATTTTGAGATGGAGTTTTGTTAAGTCACTAAGTCACCCAGATTGGCTTTGAACTTGTGATCCTCCTGCTTCAGCCTCCCAGAGTGCTGGGATTTAAAGTGTACATGACCACACCCTGCAACATTTATTATTTATTGATAATTTATAACTTTCTAAAAGGAGTTGGTGTAGATAATTTAATAAAAGCACACATTTAAAGTAGACTAATAGGCACATGAAAAGATATTCAGCATTGTCAGTCATTAACAGAATGAAAATCAAAGGACAAAGAGATACATTTTATATCCTTCAGGATGGCTATAATAAAAAAACTAAACAACAATAAGTGTTGGCAAAGTTGTGGAGAAATTGGAACTGTCATACATTGCTGGTGGGAAGACTGATACATTTTTAAAAAGTTAAACATAGCTTTTATATGACCCAGAAAATCCACTGTTAGGAATCTTTGCAAGAGTTGAGAACATATGCCTGTACAAAAAGTGTACACAAATGTTCATAGCAGCGTTATTTATAATGTCCAAACACAGAAATGATCCAAATGTCCAACAGTTGATGAATGGATAAACCAAATGGTATTTCCATATAGTAGAGTGTTGTTTGCCATAAGAAGGAATTAAGTACTGGAGTGTATTACAACATGGATGAACCTTGAAAACATTACGCTACATCAAAGAATCCAAAATCAGAAGGTCATATATTGTCTATGTGCAATTTCTCTATAATCTTGCCAGCACTTATGTTGTTTAGCTTTTTATTATAGCCATCCTGAAGGTTGTAAAATGGTATCTCTTTGTCCTTTGATTTTCATTTCCTTAGAAGGTCACTATATTATCTAAGTGTCCAGAAAGGCAAATACATGTAGACTATAAGTAAATTAGTGGTTGTCAAGGGCTGGGGTGATAGAGAGCAACTGGTAATGGGTGCTGAATATTTTGAGGAGGTGGTGAAAGTGTTCTAGAATTAGATAATGGAGCTGGGGATATAGCTTAGTGGCACAGTGCCTGCCTGGCAAGTTCAAGGTCATGAGTTCGACTCCTGGTTTAAAAAAATTAGATAGGGGCTGGGGATTTAGCTCAGCGGCATGGCGCCTGCCTGGCAAGAGCAAGGTCATGAGTTTGATTCCCGGTACCAGAAAAAAAACCAAAACCAAAAAAACAAAAACAAAAAAAAAATAGATAATGGTGATGGTTGCACAGTCTTATGAGTATACTAAAATGTGACTGAAAATACACTTTAAAAGTATCAGTTTTATGATATGTGAAATATATATAAAGAATAATAAGAAACACAAATAATGGTTAGCTTTGTCTGATAAACAAAAACATAGATGTGAAATCATGGTAAAATAGTGGGAAGTTAGAACCTAGGGAGAAGAACACAAATAATAACATAGTAATCATTAGAAATATTTAAGTTGCCAGAATATAAAGAAATATCAGTTACATAGATTTCATTATTGAAAAGGATAAAACACATCATTCTTAAGTGGAAATACTATGGGGCTTTATATAAGCATCGCTACTTTTTATAGTCATTTTTGGTAGATGCTACCAGCATTTTTTTCCAGGAAAAACGTAATCCAGGAGTGAAGCCTTTGGTAGTTCCATGTGATTCTTAGAATTTAGGATACATAGAATGAATGGACTACTCTTTTTTAAAAAATATCAATTCAACCACTGAAGCTTGTTTGAAATAATTTTATTGAGGTATAATTGACATAACAAGCTGCACATACATAAGTGAACACCCCAGACCATCATCTCAATCAAAGTAGCGAACATATCCATCATCTCAGTACCTGCTGACAATCCTTCCCTCCCACGAGTCCCCACATCACTGCACCCCTGCTCTGCTTTTTGTCACTGTAGTTGAGTTTGAATTTTCTACTATTTTAGATGAATAGTCTGATACAGTATGTACTGTATTTTGGTCTGGGTTTTACACTGCATGATTATTTTGAAATTCCTTGATGTTATGTCTCTCAGTAGTTGCTTCTGTGCTCTGTAGTATTCCATTGGGTGAATATGGTACAATTGACCCATTCACCTGTTGAAGCTGTTAGGAATATTTCTGTGTAGGTCTTTTTTATGGTCGTATGTGTTCTCTTCTGTTTGATAAGTGCCTAAGAATGCAATGGCTATGGTAAATATATGTTTAACTTTTAGAAATTGCCAAACTGGTATTTTTTCTATATTTATTTTTATTAGTGCATGCTTGCAATACAGAATAATGAGGTTCATTTTGAGGAATTGGTACATGCATAAACATATCTTGATCATTTTCAATTCTTGCTTACTGTCCGTTTTCTCCCCACCCCCACTGATTCCTGCCCCATTTCCAAGAATCTACATTCTAGTTTTCTGTCATGTCTCCTCTATTTTATTTATTCATTTATTTATATTTTAGGTTTTTCACATAAGAAAACATGAGGTATTTAACTTTGTAAATGTAGCTTATTTCACTTAACATTGTCTTCAGTTCCATTTATTTTTCTGCAAATGAAATGATTTTTTTCTCCTTTAAGCTGAAAAATATTCCATTGTATATACCATGTTTTCATCATATATTCCATTGTATTTCATCAAATATTCCATTGTATATACCATGCCCATCATCATTTTCTGTTGATGGGTAACCAGGCTGGTTCCACAGCTTAGCTATTGTGAATTGGTCCACTATAATCATGAGTATGCATGTATCAGTATTACAGTGTCTTTAATTCTTTGAGAATATACCCAGGAGTGACATAGCTGGATCAAATGATACGATTTCTATTTTCAGTTTTTTGAGGAATCCATGTGGATTTTCATAGTGGTTATACACTAGTCTACATTCCCACCGGTAATGTAGGAGGATTCCATTTCCCCCACATCCTTACTAGCATGTATTGGTTTTTGTTTTCTTGATGATGGTAGCCATTCTGACTGTGGTGAGAGGGAATCTCAGTGTAGTTTTGATTTTCATTGCTGTGATGGCTAAAAATGCTGGACATTTTTTCATATACCTTTTGGCCATTTGTTCTTTTGAGGAGTATCTATTCAGTTAATTGGCTCATGTTTTGATTGAGTTATTTGTTTTGGAGATTAATTTTTTTTGAATTCTCTATATATTCTAGATGTTAACCCTCTACCAGAAGAGTAGGTAGCAAAAATCTTTTTCCTCATTCTGTAAGTTATTTCTTTACTCTGTTGTTTCCTTTGCTATGAAGAAGCTTCTAAATTTGGTGCGATTTTCTTTGTTGACTTTTGCTCCTAAAATGGAGCAAATGTTGGTGGGAATGTAAACTAGTACAACCACTGTGAAAATCGATATGCAGAATCCTCAAAACTAAAAGTAGGACTACCATTTGATCTCGCTGTATCATTCCTTGGTGTATACTCGAAGGAATTAAAGTTAGCATACTCATGTTATTGTGGCACAATTCACAATAGCCAAGATAAGGAGCCAGCCTAGTTACCCACCAGCAGATGAATGGATACAAAAAATGTGGCAGATATTATATAAACAATGAAGTATTACTCAATTATAAAGAAGAATGAAATTTTGTCATTTGCAGGAAAATGGATGGGTTGGGATGTCATCATGTTAAATAAAATAAGCCAGACTCAGAAAGAGAAGTGTCTCATGTTTTCCCTAATATGTGGAATCTAAAAGAGATGACATGAAAGAAGAAGGGAGACTGTTATCAGACCAGGGAAAGGCAACCAGGGCAATTGGGTATACAGAATAACAGGGGATGGATATGCTCAAAATATACACATTGAAACCCAATGTTTAGAGAAACTAATAGGCACTCAGAAAAAAAGAAGAGAAAGAAAAGAAAATCAGTTGTCCAAGGTGGGCACACCTGTAATCCTAGCTGTTTGGAAGGCTGAGGCAGGAGGATCACAAGATTGAGGCCAGCCTGGTCAATTTAGCAAGACTTGTCTCAAAAGATTTCTTTAAAAGGGGAAGGAGCTGAGGTGTAGCTCAGTGCAAGAACTCTGAATTCAATCTCTAGTACCAAACAAACAAACAACCAGTTATCCATATCGGTGTGGCTCTGTTTCTGTAGTCTTTGTTTTGTTCCTTTATCTTAATGCTACTATTATACTGTGTGGCTACTCCAGTCTTCATATCAGCAGTGTTGTTCTTTTTAAAGTTATTTTGGTTATCCTAAGTCCTTTGCATTATTTTAAAATTAGTTTTTTGTACCAAAGACTGTTGGAATTTTTATTGGAATTTCACTGAATCTGTAGATCAATTTGGAGATAGTTGATAACAATATTGAGTCTTCTCCCTTGTGAACATGGCAT